CTACCTACCTATCATCTATCCATCATCTACCTCTATTTCTCTCTCTCCCTATCATCTATTTCTCTACCTACCTACCATCCATCTATCTACTTATCATCCATCTATTTACCTATCATCTACCTCTATTTGTATCTATCTCTCTATCTCTACCTATCATCTATATTTCTCTCTCTCCCTATCTACCTATCATCCATCTCTGCCATCTACCTACCTACCTACCTATTATCTATCTATCCATCCATCATCTATCTCTATTTCTCTCTCCCTATCATCTATTTCTCTCTCTCTACCTACCCACCTACCTACCTATCATCCATCTATCTACTTATCATCCATTTACCTACCTATCATCTACCTCTATTTCTATCTCTCTATCTATCTACCTATCATCTATATTTCTCTCTCTACCTTCTTATCTACCTATCATCCATCTACCTATCATCCATTTATCTCTCCCATCTATCCAGCCATCCATCTATCATCTACCTTTATTTCTCTCTCTCCCTATCATCTATCTCTTTCTACCTATCTACCCATCACCCATCTATCTACTTATCATCCATCTATCTACCTATCTACCTACCTACCTATCATTTACCTCTATTTCTCTCTATCATCTATATTTCTACCTACCTACCATCTACCAATCATCCATCCATCCATCTACCTACCTACCTAATCTATCATCTACATCTATTTCTCTCTCTACATACCTATCATCTACCTGCCTACCTACCTGTCCGTTCATCCATCCATCCATCCATATATCCTAATGCTTTATTTAAACTAACTTTGTATATCAGTGATTGCATAACATCCGTAAAGGCCATACGCTAAATAAATAAATAACTCCTCCTTTTAAAACAAGAATCGTTTACGACCGATGGATCACAACCGTTCAACGTTACGACAGACCTGCCTTTATTAACTGATGCATGGTTTATCCCAATGCTGTATTTCGGCATTTTCTCTCCCCCCCCTCCCCCACCTCAAGCCTTCCACTATTCTAGATAACAATTCCCATTACCCAGATGATTGATGGTGAGGGATTATGGGAGCCACCTTCTCTTTAGGACCCCTTTGCAAGGCTGGGGTTTGGGGTGCCAGGTCAGGTGAGAGCCTGGACTCACCTTGGCAGAGCAGGGTGTATTCGGGCAGGTTTCTCAGGGCGGTCTGGACGACTTCGAAGTCGCAGCTGCCAAGGCAGTACATGAAGGTGGGCAGGAAATCGGCCGCAATGCTGCAGGTTTGAAAAAAGGAAAGGAGGAGAGAGAAAGAGACGTACACAAAAAAAGAAAAAGGAACCGAGGAGGGTGAGAATCAACCTTTGCTACCTCAGGCCGGCCAGGCGGAGGGTTAGAGGTCTTTTCTGGGGCTGGGGGTTCCTCCTCAGAGCTGAGCCCTGACCTCCTCTTAGCCCCCTCCCCTCTGGGCCCCAGTACCTGGGATTATTCTGAATGGAGCGCAGAGCGAGGTTGAAAGCCAGATTTCGGCAAGTTTCCTCTTCGGAGTTCATCAGTTTTTGCAAGTGAGTCTGAGAAGGGCAGAAAAGGGAGGGAGGGAGGGAGGGGGGAAACACCTGGTGAGCATGGCCAAGCCCTTGTGCCGAGTTCGATTCTTGGATTGTTTGCAGAAGTTTCACAAGACAACTAGGGAAGATCATCAGCACCCCTACCAAAACTGCCAGGGAGCGGGGGGGGGGGGTGGGGATCCCACAGGAGAAACCCCCAACAAAAAACAGAGGAGGAGGAGGAGGAGGAAGAAGAGGAGAGTTGACCTACAGAGAAAAAAGCAAGGATTTCCGGCCTCCGCCGAGCCATCTCGTCGATGTCGGTCAGAACCTCCAAGATATCTAAGAAATGGAAGGGAAAGAAGGGAACAATTTGAAAGCGATAAAAAAACAAACAAAGAAAATGGCAGGGAGGGGGCAGCTGTCGATTCACGGGCCTCTTTGGGATGCTCAAAAAAAAAAAAAAAGGTGCCAATTTACAATGGGGCTGCCTCATCTGTTGGCAGCTTTTATTGGCTGTAGACAGACTTCATCAAGGCAGCGTTTGTCGACCTTGGTTGTTTTAAGAGGTGTGGACTCTTAAACTCCCAGAATCCCCCAGCCGAGTGGGGCTCGCTTTGACTTACCCTCGACGTTCTGACCCCTGGACAGGCTCTTCATGTAGGGGGCCATTTCAGCGGGGGTGAGTGGCGTGAAGAGGGAGACGCTGACCAGGGGCAAAGATCCAGCTGCGGCCTCATCTGAAACCACACGACGGTATAGAAGTCTAAGGGCTACCGCAGGCTGACTCTGCCCACTGCCAGCAGTTTGATCCTGACTGGCTCAAGATTGACTCAGCCTTCCGTCCTTCCAAGGTCGGTAAAATGAGGATCCAGATTGCTGACTCTGTAAACCGCTTAGAGGGGGCTGTAAAGCAGTATATAAGCCTTAGGGCTGTTGCCCTCCCTCCCTCCCTTCCTTTCCTTCCCTTCCCTTCCCTCCCAGAGGTTAGAATGCAGTATTACAGGCTAACTCTGCCCACCGCCAGAGGTTCGATCCTGACTGGCTCAAGGTTGACTCAGCCTTCCATCCTTCCAAAATTGGTAAAATGAGGACCCAGATTGTTGGGGCAAGAGGCTGACTCTGTAAACGACTTAGGGAGAACTGCAAAGAACTGGGAAGCGATATATAAGTCTATGGGCTATTGCTAGGTACTTCCTAGAGCAACTAACTTCCACTCCACTGTACTGGTGAGGGATCTGATTTGTACACAAACCAAGTGTCCTTCGGTTACTCAAGAGCTCCACTGGCAAATCCACCAGGGTTATCTGCTTTAGAACCAACGAGGTGACTCACCTCCCAACCATCTGCCCACAAAGACTCCGAGACTCACCGTTCTTTTCATCTTCAGCTCCCCGATCCGAAGCGCCAGCCCGACTGGGCAGGCTGAGACCAGCCAGAAGAGATTTCAGCATCGCCAGGTCGTTGTTGTCCGAGGAAAGGTCACTGCAGAGAAGCCAAAGGTAAGCGTGGAGGCCTTGAGCAAAACTGCCCCAGCTCTTGGGCTTAGCCTGTCAGCTTTGGGAGCTCCCACACTGCCACATTTTGAGCCTGGGAAAATGGGAGGGGGGAATTTCTTGGACTGTATGTGGTTAGACATAATAGCATTCTTTTTCTAAGTCAAGGTCATGTTAATTCTGCACCTGGGTGAAGGGAAGTCTCATTGGGATGGATGGTGATTGGGGCATGTGATGTGATGATGGGGGCAGGGGGTGGATTTTTAGTTTTTTTTTCTTATTGCAAGGAAACCCAGAACTTTCAGATTTGGGATTCCCCAGATGTGCCAGTTTACTATCCAAATAAAAAAAAGAACTTTTGAGAAGATGCCTGTCTCGGAGTTACTGGTTGGAGTGGAAGTTTTCTGGAATGCGGACACAGCCCTCAACGCCCAACTGGGACCCAGACAGGAGACTTACTGGAGGGGACTGGAGTGCTTCTGCAGGAAGGAGACGGCGGCCGGAGCATTGGAAGTGATGTACTTGTGAATGAACTGCACGAATTTGGTGATGAAGCAGGCCAGGTGGCGAGAAGACTTCCGGTAGCTCTGAAGCAAAAAAAGAAAGACCGAGCGCAGGTGAGGGGCCTCTGAAGCAACCTGGGGAGAACTTAGCTTCTAGGATCTTCTCAGGACCGTCCCACACAGACAGACAACCTGGGTTTGGCCTGGACCACTTCTGAGGAACCTTGGTTGGGTGCAGAATGTCCGCCTTTTTAAGACTGAAACCCGTTTCTGCAAAGAGAGGTGTCCCAAGTCCTGCTCAGAAGTAACCAGGATTCCCGGCTTCTATGAACTTTGCCTAAGAAATTGGAAGAACTGTGGGAGGTCAAGCCAGGTGCCCTTCTGGGGAGGCCTTGGTGCTATCTCAGCTTGGCTCATGTGATTTCTATGGTTTATGGTGTTGCTTAGTGGGGTCATGAAAGGTCCGCAAGAAAACCACCAAACTCAGAGAGCACTAAGGACCCCATAGTCCTCCTCCTCCTCCTCCCCTTTTCCTCCTCCTTCTCTTCCTCTCCTTTTCCTCTTCTCCGTCTCCTCCTCCTCCTCCTTTCTCTTCTCCTTCTCCATCCACAAGCCCACTCCTCTCTAGCACTGATAATATTCCCTAGTTGGATCATGAAAACCACCAAGCTCAGAGAGCACCAAGACCCCCACAATTCGACCTTGAGCCCCAGAGATTCTCTTCCAAAGGTCGTTCTAGAACAGCAGCCAGATAAGTCTGCCCCTGGACCTGCTCAGAGCTGTCACCCAATCCTGCTGGAGACGATTGCAACAACCTTCTGGGTGATTGTCCTTATCTGAGGTGGGCTCCTGGGACGGTACTCTTTGCTATCCTGGCGCAGGTGTTTGTGTCTGTCTGTCTGTCTGTCTGTCTGCAGGATGTAGCCCACCCCTTCCCAAAGCCGCAGCCCCTCCCCTACCAGAAGCAACTGAATGAAGGAAAGGAGACAGTCCCACATCGCCCCCTGGTGCTCGTTCTGGAAAACTTGAGGCTGCAGGAGCTCCAGAATGCCGAGCACGTGAAGGAAGAAGGCGAGATGCTTCTGCTGGCGGAATTCCTGGAAATTGAGGTGGATCCGGCCATGCAGCAGAGCAGCAATCATCGGCAGGTGCCTGGGAAGGGACACGGGAGGAAGAGGAGCCACCTTAGGAGGGGAGGGCACACTGTGCCGTGGAGTCGGATGGCTAAATAAGTTTGATAATAATTTAAAAAAAAGAAACCACTGCAATCTCAAAAATATCTGGAGCGCCACTTGAACAAAATCCCCATCAGTCTTTTGTTGACGTTGACAAAACCGCCATCGGTCGATTGCAAAAGGCCGCTTGACTCGGAACAGCTTACATCCTGCGATGAGACCCTTGATCCCATCAAACATCCACACCTGCCTAGCATCCCAGTTCCTGGGAAGGCCTTTGTAGGTGGACCAAAGTGCCAAATCCAGTCTAAACGTCTGGCTGGCTGTGTGACAAACCATAACAATAGACAATTGACACCATCGGCATTGACAAAACCCCCATCAGTCAATTGCAAAAGGCAGCTTGAACAGCTTACATCCTGCGACGAGACTCTTAATTCCATCAAACGTCCACATCGGCCTATCCCAGGCCCTTGGCAAGGACTCGATACGTGGATAAAACTATGCAAAATCCAGTTTAAACATCTGACTGGCTGTGCGACCACTCATAATAAAAA